ATTATGCATTAATTGAGCACATGGTATTTTCAATAAAATATTATATTTTAAATTGTAATTTGTAAATTATACCCATATTTTTGATCAATAAATTTTAAAGAAACATATACTTTTATACATAATGAATATGTTTCTTCATAATTTAGAAATGTCAGGAATTATAAGATGTGGATACCTGCTCTTTCCAACTGCCATTCCCTTCTTAGCCCTCTTATCTTTCTGTGTTTCTGCTTCTGTTTCTCGCTCTTTCACACACACACACACACACAACCATTACCACCACCACCATCACAACATTCATTACATTTGTATTTTGTGTCTTCATCTGATTTTGAAGCTTTCAAACTCTTACATCCAAGAAAATTCAATGAGATATGGACGTTTGAGCTTTCTCCCTAGCAATTCTCCTGTTGACCACACTAACCTGCTGCGCTTACCCATTTCATGGCAAGTATATAGCACATAGGTGGCTGGAATAACTTCAGGTCTGTTGAGATGTCTAGATTTTCAAGGTTTCTGAGCAACCTATTAGCAATGCAGATATTCAGAGTTTGGAAAGAGAAGGAATTAAGGGACCACTAGAGCAATAGAGAGCCAATTCATCCCATGCATGCCACTTCCCAGCAGGTTTTACTTACCTCATTACTTAGCACTTACAAACCAATTTCCAGCATTCATTTTATTTTGATACTCTTCAAACTACTTTACATGAAAATATAAACTGGTTCACACCACTAATAAGGCATATGGTAACAAAGGGATGACTGTAAAAATGTCTGGAGATGAAAGAGCACAACAATAGACACAAATGGTGAATAGGAGTTGGCTCATAAGGCAGCTTTTAGAAATGACTGGAGAGATTTTGTTGCAGATCATCTGCCTTTACCAAGGCAGACATCCCTCCTGTACTTTTTGATGGACCAAGAGCCCCTACCCCTTTGGAGACTCTCCTCAAAAGTGCCGCAGGTGGTAGTTGGATGGTTTTCCTGTTTTATCCCTTGACAAACAGCTTCAGGATATGTATTCAGCATATGTAGAAACTATATTGATGAAATATCTGTCTCTTCCATTTATTTAACAATAACCTGCTGCAAGAGTGAAAAGCATCCTCTTAGGAGAAATTGATGCAATAATACTTTGTGTGCCATGCCAAGAAAAGGGAAGGTGCTGTCACTCCTGATAGACCACCTTAAGGAAGACTTTTTTGCACATTGCTGTTATGTCTGTCTCCATTAATATCAAACCAAGCCTGAGCACCCGCATGCTAGGAATCACTAAACAATATATTTTACAATAGAGCTCAGAGGAATGACAGCCGCAAATACATGCTTCAACAGAGAGAATGGTGGTTTTAGCAACTGGAGGATCCTGTAATAATGTTGATCACAATTCCTAGTTTTTATGCCATCTAGTGTAATTTTATACAGAATGAAGGGCAGCAAGGAATAGAAATAAACTGTTTTCCAATTAAGAAAATTTAGGGCCTGCTGGAGTGTATCATACCTACTCTGGAATCCAAACTAACAAAAAGCACATAAAATTGACAAAATAATACTGCCACCCCCCTCCTGGCAGGAGCACTTAAACAAAAGGACATGGAGAGGGTGTTTGGTACAGCAGTTAGACACCATTTGAGACATCTCTGTTTCATATTGAAATGACTAGGTTCAAGTCCTGGTTCAACACTCAGTTTCAACTTCCTGATAATGTATACCTGGGAGGCAGCAGATGATGGTTCAAATTCCTGGCCTCCCTCCCACCCACACGGGAGAGCCAGATAGGGTTCCCAGCTCCTGGCTTTGGGCTGGCCCAATCAAAGCTGTTTTGAGCAGCTGGGGAGTAAAGCAGCAAACAAGATTTCTGCCACATATATATATATACATACACACACACACATATATGAGTTTTATGTATATATGAAACTCTCATGAAACACAGATTCACAGGAATAAAATGCACAGGGTTCTGTATCAGTATCAACTTCAGACTATGCCTCAAGTTTGACTTCTACTTAGATGCCTAAGCCTCTTAAACAGTACTTTGCTAGCTTTCCGTGAGTCTATTGAGTTCACTAGCTGCTTTAACGTATATTGATTGTCTTATCTAAACATGCCATGCATTATTGCCAACCTCATTATATTTATGAGAATCATTTTTAACAAGGTGGATCATCTCCCCAGGGCCAGACAATCTGATTGTTTTTGAAAGATATTAAGCAAACTCCCCAAATTTCTGATTCTTACTTCAGTGTAGTATTCTCTTAACAACACTGTCGTTTTTACAAAGCCTTATGTAACAAAGTGCATGTTCAAAGCTATATTAAATGGCTTTGCTTCAGATCTGTGACAGACAAGACTGTTGATATTGACAATTACAGAATGAATGAAAAGTCTACAAAACGTCATTTTGCTGAGGGAGAAATTTGAATTTCAATAAAAGTCATATTTGACAACAAATCATTTATTATGAGTAAGCCAAGTCTGTCACCCAGCATCCATGTACTTATGAGAGTTTTGGTTTTTTGTTGTTCTTTTTTTTTACCTATTATTTAAAATTATAATGTATGTGTGTATATATTAACTGAATATTATTTGATTCTTTGGTATATATTACAGTGTTTAAATAAGGGTAAACCTATCTTCTCAAACATTTATCATTTCTTTATAGTAAAACATTGAAAAATCTTTCTTCCAGCTTTTTAAACAAATATACAGTGCATTATCATTATCTGTAGTCACTCAGCTGTGCAATAGAACACCAGGACTTCTTTCTGCTATCTAACCATAACTTGGTAGCCATTAATCAAATTTTTTCCCATTCCTTCCTCCCCCCATCCCTGCTCTCCTCAGCCTCTGTTAAACACCATTTAAGGTTTTCTTGATCTCTGTTGTGTTGTAATATACACCCTAATTCACATTAAATTGTTTCTTTGTAAAAATGGTCTTCAGAGAAAGCCACCTCTTTGTTCTGGTGTTAAAGAAAACTGGTTCCAGAAAGTAGTATTGCTTGGAATATGGAAGTTTTGGTTCATTTTAATTGTAGAAATTGTCCAAAGCTTAGAATAATGATGGGAACAAGTCCACCATGAACTTCACAAGGAAAAGTGATTCATCTGGTGCCCTCACTGATGTAAAAAAAATGTGTGTTATAGAGAAAATGATGATATGCCATAATATGATTTATGAATTGGGGGATTCCTACAGTGTCAGAAATATTAAGATAGTGTTCTCTGCACCACTTTCTATTTACTTACGTTGCAAGATAATAGAATCAATCCCAGCAAAAAAATAACTGCTGTTTGACTGAAAATGTGTTCCTTATATTCACATACATTCCCAATATAAGGCACTTAATACCTAAGCACTATGAGTAACATTAAAACTGTACAAGATACTGTAAGACTGAATTTTCCCTATATATCCTTTTTATTGATATATTTGTGATTCAAAAACTGTCCCTTTGGTTTTGAAATAATCTATTTTGAAGTCATAATTACAGAGAAAGGGGCAGGGAGATAGAAACAGAGAGATTCTCCATCCGTTGGTTCACTTGCCAGATGGCCGCAATGGCCAATGCTGAGCCGGGCTGGAGCCAGGAGCTTCATCTGGGTGTCACATAAGTGGACAAAGCACAAGCAGGCCATTCACCACCACTTTTCCAAAGCAATCAGCAGGGAGCTGGATTAGAAGCGGGGCAGCAGGAACTCTGAAAAGTGCCCATCTCTGCTGTTGATGTCTCAGATGATGACTCTACTGTTACGCCAAAATGCTGGCCCCAGAAACTAAGATTCTAGATAAATATATACATGCATACATACCTAGATGAGAAGGGTTTAATAGAGGAAATATCTAATGTGTTATGTAGATTGATAATTTCCACAATAGGGTGTTAGAAGCTACAGAACCAAAAAAGTTAATGTGTGCAAGCCATAATATCACAGAACCAAGGAAACTCATGGTATTAGTTATCAATCCAAGGCACAATGAACAAGAACCTGGGGGAACCTACTGTTATAAATGATGGAATGACTTGAGAAGACCAGAGAACCTGGAATTCAAGTGTCTTTCAGAATGTATTCCAACTCCAGGAGAGAAAGCAAAAAAATTTGAATTTCATCTGCATTTTTTTCTATCCTGAACCCCAGCCAACTTGATATTGCCCACTGTGTCTATCAATTCAAATACCAATCTCTTCCTAAAGCACCCTCATAGAGACATCCAGACATAATTCTAAAAATCCACTATCGATTTAACATCTAAAATTAACTAGTTCAAGTTTTATTATCTATTTTTATTAATATAAGAACAAACTCTCCATGTGAAATGTTAGTGCTCTGTCTCCTAACTTACGAAAATCATGCTTTTGATTAATGTCAGTTTCAAAGGCAGGTCCAAGTAAGTAGTGCTTAATACTGTCAATAAAGGTGGCATCGACAGGGGGGTGGGGTAGGGTAGGAAATAGATTAGGAACTCCCTAATAAGTAGGCAATTAGCTTAGTGGTGAGGACCCTGTATTCTACATCAGGATACCTAGACTTAGTTCTCCTCTGTAGCACCTGATTGCCCAGAATCCGGCTATCATAGACCGTGGGAGGCAGCCATGATATCATAACCAATTTAGTTCTTCAACTTATATGGGAAGTCTGGTTTATTTTCCTGGCTCGCACCTTCAGCCCTGGCCCCCTGGTCACTGTTACTATTTAACGAATAAACTAGCAAATATAATCTTTCTTTCTCTTCTTCTCTCTCTCTCTCAAATAATTTGAAAAACTGAGTAACTTTCTTTGTTCAGTTTTATAAAACCTTGAATTTTTGTATTTCCCAGAGGAGTTTGTAATAACTAAAAAATTTTCTCATGTGTAGTGATGAATATTCTCATGTGTAATGTGGAGTGGATTGCCTCTGAAATTTCCTTTTTTTTTTTTTTTGTTAAAGGGTCACTTCCTGTCTTCCAATGGAAACCAAGGGTCATTTGTCTATTTCTCTTTCTTTCATTCTCAGGTAAGCCTCTGAACATCCCATGCAAAGCATTCTTTGGATTCAGTGGAGAGTCTGGGCCAATGATCTACTGGATGAAAGGAGAGAAGTTTATTGAAGAACTGGCAGGTCACATTAGAGAAGGTGAAATAAGGTATGGCACTTGAATTGCTTATTTTTTTTTTCCTAGTTTTTTTTTTTTTTTTTTTTTTTTTTTGCAATAGAGCAATGAAACCTTTAAGAAAGGATTCTTCCCAGGATTTTCTTTGCAATGCCAAATAATTCTATTCACTAAAAGCTGATCTGGTGGAGAGGCAAAGGGTAACTACCTGTAGAAATGCAAATATGTAAGTTTCTAGATAGATCAAAGTTTTTCTCAGATTCAAAGAATACAGATGTAATGACCCTCTAAAAGTGGCACAGATTCCTTTGAGTTTCAAAGCTTTGATCATTGTTAACCCCGTCTTGCCACTGTAGAGATCTGAATGTTGTAGGTGACTCCTCCAACCACTTTGCAAATTTTGATTTACTCCCTGGCAACAGCCAGCCATCACATATCATAAGTGTAAAGCTGAGGTCACAGTAGTAAGCAGGAACTAAGCCAAAGCAACTGTTGACTTTGATTGAATAGTGTTTGTTTTTCTTAGCATCCACTGCCCATCCTGAAAGTAATTGCTCTTACAGTTTATCATCTTCTAGTTTTCTTTGTGTTGTGCTGTTACACAGGTATCTCCCTGATACATAGACAGCAATTCAATTGGTTTTTTTCATTCTATTCATGATCTTCAGATTCATAGGAAGAATTAGGTAATGTCTATATCAGGTAATCTGTGGGATTTCCTTTTGATTTCAGAGATAGTGAATTTATTCCTATTGGGATTAGACTTTCTGACCTCTATCCCCGTTATCAGTCATGCAATGGAAATCAATGTAATATTTCAGTGCAAATAATGTTAAAATGTGATCTTTCAGTTGTCTTGTTAAACTTATGGTGATGTAAGTAAAAGAAGTATACTTTATATGATTTGCTATGATTTAATATGAGTTATAATCACCCCTATGCCAGCTTATTTCCATATATCTCCCAAATAATTCTACTTGAAAGTTTCATAAGTTTGAGGGCCCATGAATCCCCACAAAGCCTGTGCAAAACACTGACTATAGAAGCATGAGTTGGGGAAAATAATATATGAAAACATTCTTGACACCATTAGTCATCTGGGAAATAAAAATCAAAACCACATGATACCACTGCATATCATTAGGATGGCTATAATAAAAAATATGAAAAGAAATGTCAATGAAGATGTAGAAGAGTTGAAAACTTCATACATTGCTAGCAGCCAGTTTGCATAACAGTTTAGCAAGTCCGTAAATGGTTTAGCAAATAATTACCATACAGTACAGCAATACAGCACCTCTGAAGTCTATACCCAAGAGAACTTAAAATGTACAATCCCACAAAAATTGTGCATGAATGTCCATGCCAGTGTTATTCAAAATGTACTAACAGTGGACACAACCCAAATGACCATCAATTAATGATGGCATAAGCAAAATGTAGTAGTTCATTTAATGGAATATTATTTAACCATACAAACAAACATATACACTACAATGTGGTTAAATGCTAAAAATAACAGTGACAAGAAACTTGTAACTTTTTTATTTCATTTTTGTGAAAACTCCAAAGTAGATGAATACATAAGGATTAGAAAGTAGTGTACTGATTGTTAGAGCTAATGCAAAGGGACTGAGTGATAGGGGGTGATAACTAGACTGTGCACATGTGTTTTTATATGTGATAAAGTACAATATAGTATAAAATGCAGCATTATAAGACATAAATCACTGGCATTTAGCAAAATCACAATGTTGTACAACCACTAATTTGAGTGATCTAGTCCTAGAACATTTTTTGTCATCTGGAAAAGAAACCTTGTATCCACTTGTAGTCCTGAGCTTCATTTTGAGGTGATGAAAACATTATTAAGTGATCATAGTTCACTTCCTGACATTTTAAGAGGCTTGCAGTCTGGGGAAATTGAAGATTTTATTATTATAAGAAGGGCAAGTGAGGGGGACCCTGGTACATAATAGCCGAATGTCCACTGTCATAAAGCTCAGAGCTATGTTTTCTGACAAAGGATACTAACAGGCCTATCCTAAATGGGCCTAAGATAATTATCTCCCATGTCTTGCATAAGATTCGGTGGAATTTTCAGAATAAACAATTTTATTGGGGTATAGTTGACATACAATAAACAACACACAATTTAAAGTATACATCAACTAAGGGTTGGTTGATATATGTGTTCACCTGCGAAAGCATCACCCTTATGTTCCCCATTGCTCCTTGAAAGTCTTTCCCTCCTGCCCTTGTGCTACAACACTCATATCCCCGTGACAATAAATCTGTCGGAAGTTTCGAGTTTTACGTAAATAGAAATAAACAGGGGGTATTTGTTTTTGTCTGCATTGTCTCACTTGCTACAAATGTTTTGAGGTGTGTACATCTTGTTATGTGTATCAATAGTTCTTTTTTAAATGAATAGGCTATGATTTGTTGGTAGCTTCACTCATCTAGGGAATTGAAGATGTTTCCAGTTGGGACCTATTACAAAGAAAGCTTCTACGAGCAGTCATATGCACTTCGTTGTAAGCACCCATATATATTTTTTCTTTCTAAATACCTAAGCATGGAATTTTAGAATAGGTATGGATTCAGTCTTTTTACGTAAAGAACTTCAGTTTTTATAATAATTTTTGATTTACTGTGTAGGTAACATAACTATAGAAAGCTCCTGAATTCCCCATATTCAGTTTTCCCTATTATTACCATCTTTAGTTGCTAAGCACATTTCTTGGAGCTAACAAACCAAAATGGACACATTATTAGTAAGTCAAATTTTTTCTGTTAGCTGTTGCTCATTGCCCTTTTTCTTCTCTTAGGCTATTTGATTTTTTTTTTTTTTAAATTTAACCTAACTATTCCAAAGCTGCTACACCATTTTACAGAAGAAAATGATGTGCCAGTAATGAATAGAGTTTCTGGGAGATAAAACACACATCCACTAAACAGTTAAATCCAGAAAAAGCCACTCTATTTAGTGTCAAATAAGTCAAGTACTTGGTAAGTGCTAAAGGAAGTGATTCTTTGAAGATTTCCACAGTGCTGTTGTGCATTTGGTTTTTTTGTTGTGTTTTTACATCTTCTTTCTTTACCCTCTTTAGCCACTGTTACCCCACAGCAAAAAGAGTGCGTTAATTATATTCACAGTAAAGAAAAGCAATAATTGTGTTTACAAATTTTGCAAAACTCTGCTAGCTAACTAGAGACACCTTCAGAAAAGTACAGACAAACAGGCAGGAATTTGTGGCCAACATAAACAGTTGACTATTTTGTGATATTAATTGTGTGATCTGTGATCTATTTGGGAGCATGTGTGTGTTCTGGAATTCCTTCAGGCCATGGCCATTTATGCTAACACAGGACTTAATTACTAGGTTCTGTCTTCCAGCCTCCAAAGCTAATGTCCTTGAAACAAAGCACACAAGATTTTTTTTTTCTGCACAGCATGGCTGACTGGAACAAATCTGGCAGTTTTATAGAAAAACATTTGTTAAGATACCATTAGTTGAACCAAGAGAAGATCTACATTCTTTCATGACCCAGACAGCTTCTCCAAAGGAAACAGTTGTGAAGGCAGAATGCTGAGGATTTTAATGAAGACATTCGTCTAAAAGGCATTTCTGAAAACACAATTACTTCTGGGGCCATGACTCTCCTTCAGAATTGTCTTAGTGTATTTAGGCCATTACAAAAGATACCTTAAATTGAGTAATGTATGCAAAATAAAACATTATCACTTATAGTTCTGGAGGCTGGAACTTCATTATCAAGATATCAGCATGTTCAGCGTCTGGTGAGGAACAGTTCTTACTGGATTGTGACTTCTATGTGTTCTCACGTGTCACAAGGAGTGAGGGACATGAGGTCCAGCCTGTTTTGTAAAGGCACTAATCTCTGATAAGAAAGTGTTACCTTTATGACTTCATCCCTTCCCAAAGGCCCCGGTTCTATCACCTTGAATGCTAGGTCCCAACATAAGAATTTAGGGAAAAATCTAACACCCAGACCAAAGCATCATGTCATGCATGCGTTTCAGAGGTGCATTGCCAAGTAGATGTAAAAAGCAGAACCTGAACAAATAATCCTCAGGTAGTTACTTGACTTGTAGGGAAGCTGTCAGTGATACTGGACCTGATGGGAGGATGGGCCCTTCTACTTAGATTCGCAATTTCCTGGGCAGCAGCTGGATCCTAGAAGCATGGGTTGCAACTTTTTTTTAAATCTCTTAGTATTGCCCTCAAAGGAATCGAGGAGTTAAAAACAATTATCTAGAAATAAACCTGAATATTAAGCAGGAACTTAGAGAGATAATGCCACTCCTACTAGCATATGCAGTCTGTCTTCAGTGGTTCCCCTGTGGCTTGGCTAGCATATTAGATCAAACCGTGGTCAGGGTTTTTGAATTCTCCTTTGTTTGCTCTCTGGGTCACTTTGACCGCTGAAGTCCTTAAGTGTCTCATTGTCAAAGAGCATAGACCCCTCTCTGGGCACAGAGAGTCCCCTTTATCTCCTTTTAAGCAGAGCTTGACACAGCTCTCTCCTGTGTCTCTGATGTTCCTAAGAGACTGAGCCCCAAGGTAACCTGAACCCAAATGTAGTATCCATTCACAACTATCAACCTGTCCCACATGACTGTATCACGATCCTTTCAATGAATCCAGGAAATGTAATTTGCAGAGATGATAAGGGAATTTCATGTGTGCAAGAGCAGAGCTGTGACTTTAGAAGCTTGCTTATTTTTCCTCTCATCTTAAGATCACTCCTACAAGCTGTTCTGTGCAAGCTCTACCATGTCTGTTTGGAGAAGTCAAATAACTATTGGAAGGAGACCCAGTGGGAACCATCACAAGAAATGTTGTCCTAATTTATGTTTCTCTGTTCAAACTTAATGGAGACTGCTTATAAAAGATTAGAGAGCTCATAAAAAGAAGTAAGTTGGGTGGGGGATGGTGAGCATCGTAGGAAGACCACCTTAGTTCCACATCTGTATACAACGTTATTTTAATTAATATTACAAGAGG